ACCAGCTTATATATTTGAATACATACACAGTGTCAAATTGCTTTCCAGAAATTATTATGCCAATTTATACATCTACTAGCAATATCTGAGACTGCCTCACTGCACATTTTATCTTACGGAAGTAATCAGAGATGGGACAAGGGTTTATCAATATACAAAATGTTTTTTGCAGCATTACTTATATCAAACAGAATTGTAAATAATATGTGTCCAAAAGAAATGGTTAAAGACATTCTTAAAATGAAATTATATAGCCATTAGGATGACTTTAAATAATTATTAATTACATGAGAAAATGTTCTCAATATAATTCAAGTGAGAAAAACAAGTACAAAACTATAGATACTGGCCGAGACCGGTTTGGCTCAGTGGATAGAGCATCGGCCTTCGGACTGAAGGGTCACAGGTTTGATTCCGGTCAAGGGCATGTAGTACCTTGGTTGCGGGTACATCCCCAGTGGGGGGCATGCAGGAGGCAGCTGATCAATGTTTCTCTCTCATCAACGTTTCTCTCTGTCCCTCTCCCTTCCTCTCTGTAAAAAAATCAATAAAATACATATTAAACAACAACTACAACAACGAAAAAAACAGAACTATAGATACTGAAATCCTAAATATGGCAAAAACATGAAGCAAAACTCAGAAACCTTTAGGTAAAGAAAAAACATTAGGAGGAAATATGCCAAAATAGCAACAGCTGTAAACTTTGAATTGTGGTATTATGTGGTTTTAACTTTTATGTTGAATTTTTAAAATAAAATAAACATGAATTACTTGAGGGAAAGCCTCTTTTTCTTCATTTGCCTTTGTGACTTAAGAAAATAACTTAAAAGAAAAAAAAGGGACCATTAATGATTGTGCAGGTTTAGAACTAATCTGTGTTTTACTGAATCCAGTAGTGTTACAGAGTCTACTATATATAGTCATTATTACCGGCCTGAAAGGAATCTGTTGTGAGAGGATTGCTGATCTGGAGTCACCTTCTAAATCTAGCAGAATCCATCCTCCTCCTTGTCAAATGGACACAGACAACAGGGAGGTTAGGGCATGAGTGGGGGAGGAGGAGTTGGGGAAAGTGATAGGGGGATAAGGACACAATGAAATACCTTAATCAACGAAGAAATTAAAAAAAAGTCTTAAGAAGCACTGAACTGACAGCAGTGACGACTGATGCTCTCTTCACCTACAGTTCAGGTGGGGCTCAGGCAACAGCAGTGCTATTGGTTAATACATTCACCTCCTCCCTTTTCTTCTCCATGTGTAGCCTGGATTTTGAGAAGGCAGAGGGATTCCTTCTACTGGGAGAACAATCCCATCCCCATGGATCTGTTTCTTGGCCTCTCAGCTCACACAGCGAACTTAACGTGTCAACTGCTGCCAGCAGGGACTAGAACTCTTTAATATTGATTAACTTGTGAAGTGATAGGTAAGCTAGCTCAAAACCCAAACCAGGATGCTCATTTATTTGCAAGGTAGGATCATGTGCATCAGAAACACAACTAGAGTAACCGCTCAGTCTACTTTAGGTGAATAAATAATGGGTACAGTTCATTTAAATACATCTAGGAACTTGCTTTTTTAAATGTTTTACAATAATGCAGGTTCACTTTGAACATTTAAGAGAAGTAATACTTCTCTCAATTCATATTAGCTTTGATAGCCAGTGCGATCCTGCTAAAATATAAGTAGGCTGTCATGGTTCTTCTCCAAACTCTATAATACATACAAAAACTGTACACAAATGTTTTAATCCTATCAGCCAAAAGGTGGAAACAACTCAAAAGTCCATCACTGACAAATGGATAAAGAAAACATGGTATATGCATATAATGAAACACTATTCAGCCATTAAAAGAAATGAAGTATTGATACAGGCTACAACATGGATAAACCATGAAGACATTTTACTAAGTTAAAGAGACACTCACAAAAGACTATGTTATATGGTTCCATTTATATGAAACCTACAGAGGCAGAAAGTAGATTTGTGGTTGCTTAGGGCTGGGTGGGGGGAGGTGATGAAAATGCTCCAAAATGGACTGTGGTGATGGTTGCATATATTTGTGAATATATTAAAAACCACTGAATTGTATACTTCAAAGGGGTGAATTATATCTCAACAAAGCTGTTTAAAAAGCCCCACATCCTATAATGCCCTTTAACTCACAGGGAAGACTGGTCCTCACAAAATCTATAGGGCCCTCCACGACCCGGCCCGGCTACCTCTGACTGCATCTCCCTCTAGCTGTGCTCCGGCTCACTCCACTCCAGACTCTCCAGGCTCCTTGGACACACTGCACAGACCTGCCTTGGGACAGCTCTGCTGTGCCCGGTACACTCTTTCCCCTATTCGTTTGGCTTCCTCCTTCAAGTCTGCTCAAATCTTTTCTCACTGAGTAGTGTGGATCATTGCCACTGACCCCATGCCTTACCCACATTGCTGTTTTTTTCTCCCATGGTTTTATCACCTGACTTGCTATCACATTTACTTATTTTTTAAGCTTATTGCTTATTTATGTCTCCCTTCGCGTGAAAATGTAAGCTTCATGAGGGTTGGGATCTTTATTTTATTCAGAGGTATCCCAATGCCTAGGTAAACACTTAAAGAATGAGTAAGTTGATTATTGACTTTAACTATTCTGATTCGTTCAACAAATGTTTATCAATTCTAGAACTCATAACTAGGAATATGATTTCTGTTTCTTCCACATAGCTGCTGGTGAAAGTATTTGTGGTGCTAAAGAATTCATCTCATATATGATTCCTAGAAATTGAAATTTGGCTTATTCCTCCTTAATTTAGGATATATTAGGCCAGTGTGACTAATGAGACAAATGAAAAAAGCAGGGAGAGAAGCAATTCCATGAGAAGTGCAAGTACTGAGACAGGAGATGATGCGCACTGCAAACCTGCATGGACCCCGAGAGAAATGGACTAACTGCTCAGGGCGGACATACTGAATCCATCACCTGGTCCCTTTTCAGGGCACCTTTTCTGCCTTTAAAAAAGCATGAAAGTTATGCCTTAATGAAGTCCCTATAATTAGTTACTATTTTCTATTTTTTTGTGTTATGTACCAAAGGAGAAGGAAAAGCAATAAAAAATTCATATTACATTTTATATGGCTATGGAGAGAGAAGAAAATATTGACTGCCTCTCTTTATTCAGAAGGCAATTTTATTAAAATGTTGCTAAGGAGGTAATAAGCTTCTTTTCTTTTCCTTGCACAGTTAGTATCAAATTCTACTGAATTTTATACTTTCTGAGTTAAAATATTTTCAGAATAAGTATATATTATTTCCACAATAAAGAGGAAAATTATGTTAAGAAGTCAAATAATAATACAAAGTGAAAAAATACACAAATACCTCTAATGATTCCCAACGAATCCAAGTGAACATGGCTCAGTATGGCTCTCTCAAGGTTCCCAATCATTAAATTCAACTCTCATGCTGTAGTTCTCTAGTCCACTTTTCCTTCTCTATCTGTCCTATCTTTAACGTCCAAATTAATCTTCCTAAAATACTGTGATCCTCTTATAATTTTACTGCTTAAACTTTCAATGATTCCTCATTTTCTATAGAAGAAAGTATAAATTCCACAGCCTGGAATTCAAGGCCTTCCACAGTCATAACATTAACTTAAAAAAAAAAGTTTTTATTGATTTTTTTTAGCGAGAGGAAGGGAGAGGGAGAGATAGAAACATCCATGAGAGAGAAACACTGATTGGCTGCCTCCTGCAGGCCCTCCACTGGGGATGGAGCCTGCCACCTGGGCATGTGCCCTGACTATGAGTCGAACTGCTGTCCTCTTGGTACATGGGTATGATGCTCAACCAACCGAGCCACACTAACTGGGAAACTTTTGTTCTTTTTTTTTTTACAACTTTTTTTTTTTTTTTTTAAATCATAACCTGAGGATATGTTTTTTGTTGTTTTTTCCTTTGTTATTGTTTTGTTTTGATTTTACTGATTTGAGAGAGGAAGGGAGAGAAATATCGATGTGAGAGAGAAACACTGATTGGTTGCCTTTCATACATGCCCCGACTAGGGATCGAATCCCCAACCTAGGTATGTGTCCTGATTGGGAATCGAACAAATAACCTTTTGGTGCATAGGATAATGCCCTAACCAACTAAGCTACCTGGCCAGGGTTGGATCTTAGAAAAAAAAAAAAAAATCACCTTAGTTTTGACATTATCTTTACAAGTTGTGGCTGCTTCAGAAGGTAATTTGAAAATTTTTACAAAACAATTAAAAAACACACTCCTCTTATAAATGGTACAATAACACCTTAAGGATTAACAAGAGCATACTTAATGTCTTTGGCTATCCAACTAAAAGCCATTTTCCCAATAGAATAGGGCATACTTGCCTTACAACCAACTCCAGAAACAGAAAGCATAACAGAAATATGATTGCTTGCTGTTCTTTCTCTATGTATGTTACAGCTTTTTACAACTTGCTCATGTAGTTAACTCTATCTAGAATGTGCTCTCCATTTTCTACCCAAAGCTCAACTTATAAACCATCTTGTCACATGAAGCATTTGCTAATTTCTTTTAGCCACTCAGAGAATCCAGGGCTCTTTAATCTGACTCTCCAGGCACTTATTTTCTTCTTATTTTTTTTTTTTAACATCTTTTTTTCTTTCCTAACAGATAATGACTTACTTGAGTTAGGATCTTTATCTTATTCATCTTTGTATTCTTCCTACTAAATACTTATTGGATGAATGTAGTTAATCAATACAATAGAAAAACTCACAGAATTCAATATCATTATGTCTAGGTATTTTGGAACTGGCAATTAGATTTCTCCTCCTCTGAACATAGACAGGAAATCTAAATGGTCAACAAGTCAGGTAGGTCCTTACTCTTCAGGTCTTTGACCTAATTGAGTGATTTATGACCCTCCCGGAGTACAGATCTTTCACCTCACACAAACTCTAAATGATTCTATGGACGGATGATGTATTTTGGTCTTCAGCAGTTCCCTTACCTTTTCGTGTTGTGCACTGTGGTTCCTCCTAGGACAATCCTCACTCCAGGAGTGGAACGGTTCAGGTTATAAACTGTAAGAGCTTCTTCATAGGTGGCTCCTCCAATCACAAACACAATGATATCCTGAGGTCTGCAATAATGAAGACATTTAATATCATAGGACAAGGGAGGGGGGAGGCAAATATTTGTTGTTACTATTATATACACAGTTTTAATTTCTGAATCTTTCTTTTCTGGTGGAGGAAGCATAATTAAAGCAGAACAGAATGAAAGGTCTAAAAAAAGTTTTAATTATCTGAAATTGGCAGGAAACAGAGCAAGAAATGCTGAATCGTGATTTGCTTTCTGTTTATGAGCGGATGTCTTATAATTTCTGTGCTGTGGATTTCAGAATAGCACAATAGTGTTTGCTGGAACCAAATGTAGAAATATTCTTTTATATTCAAGAGGCTGCAGAGTACTTCACTATGACATGATATCAATACAGCAGTAATTTATGCTTGTACTACACCTCTCTCTTCATGTATAAGACCTCTGTCAAATATTTAATACAGTGCCATTACAATGGCCTCTGACCAAGGGCCTCAAAGTGTTTTGGAAACTACTGGTATATTTGGATGTCCTGTAACATGGGGACTAGAAACAGTTAGGATTTTGAGAGTAAAAAAAGAATGTGACACAGAAATTATGACGCTTCTAGGAACTCCACCTCTTTTTAAAGTCTTTGTTCCTCAATCCTTTGATAAACCAAGAAAAAGAAACCATGGAAACGAACAAAACAAAAAGCCCATGAGTACTGTTTTGAAACTGGACATGCTGACACATCAGCTCAGTCGCTAGCCTCGTTTGGGCAGCTCGGTGCAGTTTTACTGTGTTTCAATTTTTATCAAAATGGCTTCATAACAAAAATGATAGGTCCTCCTCTTAGCTCCTTCTGCAGATGGCAACGAGAAGGAGATCATATTATTTTTACAACTGTTAAAGTTTGCCTGGTTTTTATTCTCTCATGCCATCAAAAGAAGATACAATTACGTAACCTTAGTAGTAAGAGTTAATTTTGTTAAATCACTTCCTGGACATTATTTAAAACTACATCAAGCAGAGGCATCCTTTAGGAGGTTACAGCACAAAACGAAATAAAAACATCTTTAATTAAAGTATAAATCATGTTTATCTACATTTTTTTGTTTTGTTTTATCTCTCTGTATTCTTTCTAAAACAAAAACAACACAAAACGTTGAAGGAATTAACTGAGATAATATTAGTTCCTGTTGGATTCCTTGGAAAGAGAATCAGATACTGGGTCTATTTAAAAATGCTCCCTCTTACTTTAGTGCTCTTGTACCCCAGTTTCTCCCTAGAGACAAACATTATTTCTTGTCTCTTATGTATCCTTTCAGAAATATTATGTTTGTATATAAATACACATGTAAATGGCAATTAAATTTTTCTGATCTATAATTTATGTGATTTCCTCTCGTAGTTCAAAGTTGAAGTAGATATGAGCATTAAATCTAAATTATTTTTTAAAATATTTTTTTTATTGATATCAAAGAGGAAGAGAGAGGGAGAGAGAGAGAGAGAAACATCAATGATGAGAGAGAATCATTGACTGCCTGCCTCCGGCACACCCCACAATGGGGATGGAGCCTGCAACCCAGGCATGTGCCCTGGTGGAATCGAACTGTGACTTCCTGGTTCATAGTTCAATGCTCAACCACTGAGGCATGCCGGCCAGGCAAGTCTAAGTTATTAATCCAATATTGATCTGGTGCTTTACGTATCAGAGGCTCTTCATAAACTTACAGGAACATATTACCACCACTGACCATGAATAAAATGTTCTATACTATCAAGGCTTTGCCCTTCAATTCCTTGCCTCCAGTTACTGGCCAGTTTTTTTCTTGCTGAGGAAGATCATCTGATTAGGAAGAGTTGTATGATTAGGATGTGAATATTTTTCTACCAAGTATGAAAAACTCTCAATTATTTGGGTACTGAATATTCAGACAAAATACAGGTTCTCTTCTTTTTCTCCAACTGATATGTGCTGTTGTTTCAACTCTTATTACTATTTCTACAGAAGGGCAAGAGGAATATGAACAGCTAATACTCAAATTCAGTTCTTGTCAGGATGTAGAACATATTTCTTAAGAAAGGGGATTGAATAAATTACATTTGGCTGTAATTTTAAAAACACAAGACCCTATAACTTTTATCTTAGTATTATCCTCATTGTTATACATAATTTTTCCTTTTCTTTTTAAAATACAGAATGTTTCATGAATTTGCATGTCATCCTTGCGCAGGGGCCATCCTAATCTTCTCTGTATCGTTCCAATTTGAAATGTATGTGCTGCCGAAGTGAGCACTACACAATTTCTTTTTTAACATTACATTTCTAAGGAGGTAAATTTTTAATTCTTTCTACTTTAGTGGTACTACGAGTACCAATGAAATAATTAATGGCCTCTCAAGAACAGTCACAACTGATAAAGGATGAGTCCTGTGGGGGGAAAAATCCAATGTTACAAGAATGTGCCAGTAAGGAGATCGAGGATACTCTACCAATAGTTTGGTTTGTGTTGAACTATCTAGGGGTCAGTCTAGGTGGAAAATAGGGTGGGGAAACAGTTTAGTTTTACTAATAAAATCCTCAACACTAAAATAAAATTGTATTTTCAGAAAATGAGTTTTTTGTTTTTTTTACAGAAAGATTCCATATGCAGTGTTTATTACCTTGAAGGACAATTCTAGACTAAGAACTGTTATGCAGTTTATCTTGAATAAACACTCATGAATTGCACAGATTGTTTCATTAGGAAAATGGGAGGGAAGTTCTTCCCTGTCAGGGGAACAGTGACTGTTGAGAGGAAGCAGACAGTAACACTTTTGTTTTGAGTTCCTGATCTGGTAAGTCAATTATTTAAAAAGCAGCTGAGCAGACTAATAAGGATCACCCTGGGAAATGACGTTGCTTCTCTATAGCTGCCCTCTGCCCATCACTTGCCTCAAGAGCACATCTAGTTCTTATGGAATAAAAGGGCAAGAACTGGGAAGGAATAAACTCACAAGTGTTTCTAGCACAGCCAGAGAACACTCTCCTTCAGTCTGATCATTGCAGGATGCCAGAGTATTTTCACATGCCTAGAGAGGGAAAAATGTTATGGGTGGTAACTATGGGGGTAGGTTATCTTTTTTATTTTAATTTTTGAAAGAATATTTTTGTTGATTTCAGAGAGGAAGGGAGAGAGAGAAACATCAATGATGAGAGAGAATCATTGATTGGCTGCCTACTGCACGCTCCGCACTGGGGATGGAGCCCGAAACCTGGGCATATACCCTGACCGGGAATGGAACTGGTGACCTCTTGGTTCCTGGGTCAATGCTCAACCACTGAGCTACACCAGGCTGGGCTATAGATCATCTTAATGTAAGTCTATAGGGATAGACTCTCAGTGCTGGACTCAACTGTGTCCCTAACAAAGATGACTGTCACATTTGGTTATGAAAATATTAATAAATGTTTTCCTGAGCCTCCTACTACTCATTCTGATATATTCTAAGGAAGATATCACTGAAAAAAAATTTAAAAATATCCCTGACATTTATCCTTTTCAAATGAATTTTAAAGATAGATGTTCTGATGAGGTCAACAGTAAAATATATAGCAAAACATTTTTATGATGGCTGATGCTAAGTGGAATACGCAAGTTCAATTCTTTGTACACATCTTCCTGTTCTCTGTAATTCTCTATAGCAACCAAAAGCATTAATTAATGCAGACAGCCAACATTAGAAAGCAGCAGCCAGTTCATGCTGTATATAAATAAACAAGGACACTTTGAGAACCCAACCAACTTACATCTTATTAGAAAACTAAACAAAATTTTTTTTCATATATACTAGAATTTCTGGAAATCATTACTTCTATGCATGGGTAAGCAGAAAAATATAAACTTTTAAAAAATTGAATTTGCCAAGACTGGTTTGGCTCAATGGATAGAGCGTCGGCTTGGGGACTGAAGGGACCTGGGTTCAATTCTGGTCAATGGCATGTACCTTGGTTTCGGGCATATCCCCAGTAGGGGGTGTGCAAGAGGCAGCTGATCGATGACTCTCTCATCGATGTTTCTAACTCTCTATCTCTCTCCCTTCCTCTCTGTACAAAAACAATTAAAAAAAAAATATATATATATAAATTGAATTTACTGAGATGAGATTGGTTAATCAAATTACATAAGGTTCATAATAAATCATTTGTATATTGTATTATATGTTCACTACCCCAAGTGCTTATCTCACTCCAGTTATATCCTTTATTTGCTTACTAGTTTACTGTCTACCTCCTTCCTGTAAGTTCCTTGAGGGTAGGTACCCATCTGTTCTGTCACTTCTATTTCCCCAGGATCTACAATAGTTCTTGACATATTGAAGACACCCAATAAATAGTCATTATAGAAAAGAATGAAGCAATTGAATTTTAGCTATATATGTATTTATGTAATTGTGACAAATGCTAACAGATGCTGACAACAAATGTGCATTTTGAGCTTTGGTTGGAAAAATGAATCACCCAGATTAGAAAGGTTTCCTGTCACAATCTAGTCTTATACAACACACTCCTCTGGTGATCTATGTCCCTTTAGTAATAAAGAGCTATTTTTTGTTCAGTAATTCTGACATAAAATTCATAAGAAAATCAATATTTTTACTTTTATCAAAGCAATCAGAAGGCTATTTCATAGAGTTATACTGTGTGTCTTTTTTCCTTTTCTTTTTGTGCTGTTTTTCAAAAAGCCTCTATGATAGGTGAATAGCTTTGGGCTGGTTCTGATTCTTCCCACTTAACTGACATTTCTGAACCTTGATGCCAAGATTATTAGCTATTTTATCTGAATGAGTGTACTCTCTGAATTTAACCCCATATATTCTGCCTCTCAACCTTGGATATTTTAAAAGTTGTTTAAAAAAATAAAAGTTGTTTGTTTTTTTCTGTTACCAAATTATAGTGGTTTTTTTTTTTTTTTTAAAGAATGAAGTGAAAAAATATATAAAACAGTCACCTAAGTACCTCAAAACATTTTTTCCTTCCAGAAATTAATTATATTTATAAAACACTATTCTCCAAGGCTCTTAGATTGAGTAGCTGAAATTATAGAAGCGTTATACTAACATTAACAATTATTGCATCTATCCATCTAATAGGATTCAGCTACACATATTAGGTTCTTTATAACATGTGGTTTCAATAAGAAAAAAAATACACAAAAATGCCAAAACCAGTTTGGCTCAATGGATAGAGCGTCAGCTTGGGGACTGAAAGGTCCCGGGTTCGATTCCGGTCAAGGGCATGTATCTTGGTTGCGGGCATATCCCCGGTAGGGGTGTGCAAGAGGCAGCTGATCAATGACTCATCGATGTTTCTAACTCTCTCTCTCCCTTCCTCTCTGTATAAAATCAATAAAATATATATTTTAAAAAAAATACACAAAAATATAATTTATAACTAGGTAGAATTTGTATATATTTAAAAATCCAGGGTGGACTAAATAAGTTGTTTTGGACAAGTTTTATCTTTATTTAAACAAGCAGACCACTGGATTAAAATGACAATTAATTGCTTCCTTCAGTTAATACCCCAAAAGAAAGCCATCCGTTTCTTCTTTGTGACAAATGGCCTTTGTTAATGAGGTCTCAGTTTGTATGCTGGCCACATTTGGCAAAGTTCAGTCCTGACCAAAAATAGTAACCACCTGCTCTGGCTGGCAATCAAGCAGCAAATCTATTTTTGGCTTTAATGTTTGAAACTCCAAATGGTAGATGCCATGGATCTGAACCTTAAATGGCATAAGCAAACTGGCCTGATACTAAAGGGCAGAGTGTAAGTATTTGGGTTGTTCCAAACCATCTGCTTCTTTATTCCAAAAGAAGTAATATTTCAGGTGTAGCTGGTGAATTTATATCTAACCTTGACACATGTAAAACCAAAGAATCTTAGAACTGAAATAATAGGGGAAGGAAGAATAGAATGATATAATTGGAGTTATAGTCCCTTACATTACTCTAAATGTCCTATTTTCTTAGTTTCTGGTTTTTATTATTAATATCTTTATATCTTACCTGTCTCTGAGTGTGCTGGGGCCTAGATAAGGGTACAGACTTTCTTTAAGTTTTCCTTTGATGAGATGGTCCAGGGTCTCATGTAGGAAAGGTTGATGCTGAGTATACACATTTTCTATTCCCTAAGACAGGGGAAAATAGTTCTTATGTCATTTTTTGAAAACTTGCAATATACTGGTTTATGATGTTCTTATCAGAAAAGAAGATACACTCAACTCAATAGAGATTTCATGAGATAGATTCAAATAGGAATTTTAGGAGAATTTTATGGTTAGATAATTTTAAAAAATATATTAATCAATTAGAACTGTTCTAATCTCATAACAACACTGTAATTTAAGGCTAGCTACTTTAAAGGAATTTTAAAAATGAAATTGCTGAAATCCTTTAGCATCTATTCACTAACTCTCATCTTCTTGTGAAAATGTTATATGACCAGTAGAACAAATAAAAGGAATGGATTATGTAGAAAAATAGATTAGACACACTCAGGAAAATGGAAGAAATTTAGGCAGAATTAGAAAGGCTAGCAGATTAAAACCAATTTTTGACCATTTTAAGAAAATAGGCCCATCTTTTTAAAAGATCTATAACTGTTTGCTTCATTTTTATTTTCCTTCAAAGAGAAACTACTAACTAATCTTAAGTTATAAACAAATGGAGTGAAATAGTGATGACTAACAGAACCGTCTGTCTTTTCACTCTTGGGTTTTCCTGGAAAAATCTCGGTATTACCTGTTCAGCTATTTGGTCCAATGCTGATGCTGCTCCAATATAGATTGCATTTTTAAAATATATTTTATTGATTTTTTACAGAAAGGAAGGGAGAGTTAGAAACATCGATGAGAGTCATCAATCAGCTGCCTCTTGCACACCCCCTACTGGGGATATGCCCGCAACCAAGGTACATGCCCTGGACCGGAATCGAACCTGGGACCTTTCAGTCCGCAGATCGACGCTCTACCACTGAGCCAAACCGGTTTCGGCTAGATTGCATTTTTAAAAAAGCTTTTAGGAGGGTATCAACTTTAATTTCACTTAACTGACACAGTTCTAAATCAGCAACAATCTGGGAGTTACTTTGATCGTATTCATTCACTCTCTCGAACTCAGGGGTTTCAACTGTTGTTCATTTAGGACAGCGCAGAGATGTCATACCTTCAATCCTTTGAGGAACTGTTTGGTAATAGCCACAGCATCTTTAGGGCTGAAGAGGTCACTTCCTCTGACCCGTTTACCACCATATTCAACAACTGCAGAGACAAGCTATTGAGGGGAGATGGGGGAGGGAAAGAGAGATGGGGAGAGAGAACATCCTCTTACTGTTTGGGAATCAGGAAATTCATTTCATAAGAACTTTATTAAGGAAATGAAGACCTGTTTGGGGGGTTAATGTGTAAGTGTGGTTACCTTTCGATATTTCTCAGAAACACCCTTATTCCTGAGGTCCATCATTAGCCCTGGCAGGCTGTTGCTGCTGTGTCGCTCATAATGGAGTGCATAGAGCATCACCAGGCGGGCAGCATCACATTCTGTCACTTTGGGGTTCTGCAGGAGCCTCTTTACATTCTGAAGAAAGATAGAACTGATATTTAACCCCCCTTCACTTCACTTGCGTGATGGTGTATAATATCTCAGATCTCATATTTATTTAAAAAATATATATATATATATTTTTATTGATTTTTTACAGAGAGGAAAGGAGAGGGATAGAGAGCCAGAAACGTCAACGAGAGAGAAACATCGACCAGCTGCCTCCTGCACCCCCCCCACTGGGGATGTGCCCGCAACCAAGGTACATGCCCCTGACCGGAATCTAACCTGGGACATTCCAGTCCACAGACCGACGCTCTACCACTGAGCCAAACCGGTTTCGGCATCAGATCTCATAATTATTGAATAGCAGTGATACATCTGAGTTAATGACTAAGATTACTACTATGGCAACGTATAGGTCATAGGTTCAGCAACTGTTTCAACTACAGAATATTAGATGCCTTTTGTTTAAGATAAGAATTAAATAAGGAAATAAATTCCCATTGTTTAGGACAAACATGAATTAACTATGGATAGTTTTTTTTTTGTTGTTTTGTTTTTTATGAGATAGTCTAAGGTCTTATGCAGGAAAGGAACAACATATATTCTTTCTACCACTTCAATCATTACAGTACACAACAGAATTGACCAGCTGACTTGCAAAATTCTACTGCTTTCTCTTAGTGGTGGAAAAAAGAGACAAATTGGTAGAATTTTACAATGGAGAACTGGGCTTAATCTCCAAGAAGCAGCAGATATATCAATCTGTGTCAACATTGTTTACAGGGATATGAGTATGTAAATAGCATGTAATCTTTAAATTGAATACTTATGATCTTAATAGGATAGGTACTGGTAGCAGAAAAATGTAGTAAATTAATAGTATTATTCATTGAGCAGATGAGAAAAGCAAAATGGAATTGGCGGAAACCTTCAACATGCAGGTATGATAAAAAATGAGTCTAATAGTTTGAGAGAATAGTATTTGGGGAGTATAAAGAGCTTTATCTAGGAGAAATAATAGGAAGTAGGTAGGACCCAATTCCACTGACTGGCAAATAGTCTAGTCCACATAAAATTCAGTTTTGCTGTAGATCTTCTGGTCTACACTCTTTCTGAAACACTGATTAAACACTGGTTTAGAAAAGGATCATTTTTACTCTTAACTGATCAAAGTAAAATTGTCAGTTCTATGTGTCCCAAACAATTTTTTTTATGACTTTAATGAAAAGCAAAGCAAAACAAAACAACAACAAAAACCCCTCTGGAACCATGGAGAGATCCAAGGTTATGACTAAAGTAAAAAAATATGTCCTGGATGCCATAAAGAAAACAGAATGTATCACCAAATAATAACACTGGTAATGGTGATAGTTAATATTGGTTGAATGTTATAAGTACCAGGCACCGTATGAAGTGCTTCACATATATTAGCTCATTACACCCTCACAAAAATCTTTGAAATACTGTTATTTTTCTTCATTTTACAGATAAAAAGAGTAAGACTATTTTTAAACCCACGCCATCGAAGGCCCAAACTCTTAACCTCTACTCCATAATGCTTCAGGTGGAGCTCTTTTCATTTTTCTAACAAATATTTATTGAGTCTCTACTATGCGTTCTTAATAGGACGATTGTCAGGAAAGAAAGACATAAAATAGACTAGTTCCTCCTTCCAAATAAAAAGTTGTGATATGACAATAAGGGTGGGGGTGGGGGCATTGTTTACTTTCTGAGATGTTTCTCTTCATGGTATGAAAAAAATCTTCCAGCCCTAACTAGTTTGGCTCAGTGGATAAAGAATCAGCCTATGGACTGAAGGATCCCAGGTTCAATTCTTTTTTTTCTTTTTCTTTTTTAAATATATTTTATTGATTTTTTACGGAGAGGAAGAGAGAGGGAGAGAGAGCTAGAAACATCGATGAGAGAGAAACATCCATCAGCTGCCTCCTGCACCCGCCCACCACAGGGGATGTGCTCGCAACCAAGGTACATGCCCCTGACGGGGGATCGAACCCGGGACTCCTCAGTCCGCAGGCCAACCCTCTATCCCCTGAGCCACGTCAGTTTCGGCCCAGGTTCAATTCTGATCAAGGGCATATACCTTGGTTGCAGGCACATCCCCAGTAGGGGGTGTGCAGGAGGCAGCTGATGGATGTTTCTTACTCTCTATTCCTCACCTTTCTTCTCTGTAAAAAAATCAATAAAATATATTTTTAAAATATATTTTTAAAAAATCTTCCTTACTAATCAAATGAGTCTTTTCTGAGGCTATGGATATGTATGCTTCAATGGTTGTACATAACAGTTTGGTTCTAGTGAAATTTTTTCTAAATAAAAATGTTGTTAGCCTGTAGAATAACTGGTTAGAAGTAGCTTATAGGTTAATGCTTGGCAACATATGAGCTTTTTTCTCTCTATCATGTTACAGTTACTATTCAAAAAAGCAAACCCCATCTCTACTAAAAAAAAACAAAACAAAAAAAACCCCTCCATTCACTGCTTCATGACATATTATAATCTAAGGTCAAGCCAAGGAATGCTATACCCCATCTAGGGGTCAGGCCCCTGGCATCTACTCATTATAAAACAAAAGTTCCCTTTATAGACTATTTAAGTCATGTTGCCAAAGAAATCCATTATGAATGGGGGAGTACAAATCAATTGCTCACTATAAAACCCTAATACCATGGGCAAGAAAACCTTCAAAAGATAACTTTAAAAAATGTAAAGTGGATCACAAATGGAATTCATATTTTAAAAGTACTATCTTTCTTTTAGCGTGACCCGCTCCCCCCAAAAAATATTTCAGGCAAGGAATTACAGTAATTTTTTCCCAACTGCTTACCATATGGTAGAGCGATACAAATAAAGATATTAAATTTGACTAGTGATTATTTTTGGTTCTATTGTTTTAAAGGAAAAATAAAATGATAAACATAAATAAATTTAAGTTTAGTTATAGGGCAAAATTTTGTTTTTATTTAGTGAGAAGGAAACTCATTTTATTGAGAAAGACAAAGTTTTCATAGGAATATTTCTATTAGGCCCATGAAACAATAGAATTTAGTAGTATTATTTAAAACTGTCTTTAGTAGTATTGTTTAAAGTAAGTTGGTCAAGTTAAATAGATTGTGATACATCTTTACAAAGAAATACTAAAAATGAGTCTTTAGATTTTTATCTGAAGCCATCTCTGAGATACATAGTTAAGTGAGAAAGTAAATGCAGAATTATGTGCACAATATGGTATTTGAATTTAAAAAGATTGGGAGATATACACAAACAGGCTTGCACAAATGCAGAATAACTGAAACTAGTAACCATCTCAGCTTTTATTATATATCTCTTTCACCAAGTACTTATCTATTTAAGTATCAAAATTTAAGACAATTAAAAAATAATAAAGTCTGCCTAAGTTTTTTTGTGTGAAGATTTAAGAATACAGGGATAAAATTAAAGGCCAGAGTGGCTGAGATGGTTGAGCGTCATTCATGAACTGAAAGGTCAATGGTTTAATTTCCAGTCGGGGCAAATGCCTGGGTTTCAGGCTCGACCCCCAGTAGGGGGCCTGCAAGAGGCAGCCAATCAGTTTTTTTTCTCTTTCCCTCCTCCATCCTCTGTCTGTAAAATCAATAAAACATATATTTTTAAAAAGCGATGGTAGAGGTTCTTTTCATAAATATAAAGCAAATATCATCTTCCTGATTTTCAAAATGTTGATGTTTTCAGGGGAAATTCTGATAAACATTAAAAAAAAAAAAAAAAAAGTAAAAGGCCAACAACTACCTATCCCAGTAAAGACCTTGCTATAACTGAGCAACCACAGGTAGGTGCATTTCTTTCTTCTGCTTGTACCAGATATTTTAAAGGTATGCTTAGAGGAAGGGAACCAACATTTACAAAGCACCTAACATATGTGAATAATCTGACATATTTCATTGAATCCTCATAACAATCTAAAAGTTCAAAACCATTATCCTGAGGTTTGGGCAAAGTAAGTAATTTTCCCAAAGAAACGGTGGTATGTAGACAGGCTATAAGCCAGGATGGTCTGGCTCCAAAGCCTGTGTTGTTTTCATTAGACCACACTGGCTTTGTTTATAAAGTAAAATTGCAGCAGGAAAAGAAAGAGACTACGTTTTAGAATATTGGGTCCTTATCAATATGGAAATGTGCTTCTTATAAAAAAGCTACTACGTAGCTTAGAAATGGCTATCTTCCAAAGAACTCTTTTTTTTTTTTTTTTTTTTTTTTTTTTTAAATATATATTTTATTGATTTTGTACAGAGAGGAAGGGAGAGAGATAGAGAGTTAGAAACATCAATGAGAGAGAAACATCGATCAGCTGCCTCCCGCACACCCCCTACTGGGGATATGCCCGCAACCAAGGTACATGCCCTCGACCGGAATCGAACCCGGGACCCTTCAGTCCCCAAGCCGATGCTCTATCCATTGAGCCAAATCGGTCTCGGCCCAAAGAACTCTTATTCCCAAGTTAACTTATTGTCAGTGATATCACAATGTGCCATTTCTCAGGAACCTTGGCATTATCTCCAATTTGTTCTTTTCTTTTAAAAAACAAACAAACATATTTTATTGATTTTTTACAGAGAGGAAGAGAGAGGGATAGAGAGTTAGAAAATTGATGAGAGAGAAACATCGATCAGTTGCCTCCTGCACACCCCCCCCCCCACTGAGGATGTGCCCGCAACCAAGGTACATGCCCCTGACCGGAATCGAACCTGGGACCCTACAGTCCACAGGCCGACGCTCTATCCATGAGCCAAACTGGTTTTGGCTCCAATTTGTTCTTATTTCCTTCTATCCAAACTGTCACTAAATTGTTGTTTTCTCCCTTTGAAATGCCGCTTAGATTTTCTTATTGTACATTTTTACTACTATTTAGTGAGAAGGAAACTAGCTGACTTCACTTGCACTAGCTGACTTCACTTTTTTCACCTCCAAAGTATCCTAACTAGATTAAATTTTCTAAAATACTGATTTTATCATATTAATTTTTCTACATAAGACCCTACCTGGATCTCTTTGCCCATCTCAGCAAGTATAAATTCCTCTTAGAAGTGTCTGCATAAACTGTTTCTTTTTTACCAAATCAATTTTATATCCTTATTCTCTTCCACACACATGTTCAACAGGTGGAACTGTTTATTCTTTTCTGCTTATTGCTGCATCTTTGCTTCTGCCGCTATTCCTGACTGAAATCCTCCTCCAGATTCTACTCATTCTTTATAGTCTATCTTAATGGCACCTTCTCAGAAACTGTTCCTAATAACCTCAAATCTTATTGTCAGTATCACAATTTTGATTTAATTAAATACTATGTTGCAGCACTAATCACTAATTCTTACACTAGCTACATTGAATTATTCTCATATATATATAACATCTCCATGCCTGCATTCTCTCTGCTGAGAATTTCCCCCCTTTTCTCTGGTTGGTACACTCCTCCTCCTCATTTATTTGTCTAGACTCACATCCAATGTCATCTTCTCTAAGAAGCCTCAACTTTAGGGAAAACCGTTGTCCTTTCTGTGTTTCCATATTCCATTGGAAATACTTCTAGAATAGCACTTATTGCACAGTGTTACAAATCCTGGCTTAAATTTCTCTCTCCCCTAACATCATGTGAACTCTTTGAGGGGAAAGATGGTATCATACTGATTTTTGGACCTGTAGATCCTCATAGCACCATGCACGTGTAGCGGACATTCATGTGTTCGTGCAATGAAAAACAGATGTTCAGTAATGAAAAACAAATAATGCACTTAAATTTATTATATCTTTTCAAATCTTCCTAACAACCCAGTGTGATAAATATCATTATACCTATTTTTCAAATGAGGAAACTAGCTCAGAGATTAAGTCAACAGCTCCAGGTCACAAAGCCGGTAAGACCTCCTGATTTTAGTCTAGTATTCTTTCTAGTAGGTCAGACTGCCCTCCGAAATGTTCAATTAATTGCCTGAACCCTTTTATTGCACATTATTCTTTTATGGCTCTTATCATGTATCTATCTTAATATTAAACTGTATACTTGTCTCAACTCCTCCTAAGACTGTAAATTCCGTGTTGGTGAAGAAGGATTACTTGCCTTAGTATCTCTTGCTCTGCCTGGCACAGGGCCTTACACATAGTGGATGCTCATCAAATGGGACTGAATAGGTACCTGGAGAGCACTAGAATGGTCATTTTGACAGGCCAGTTCTTGTTCAACCTCCGAAACCTCCAGCAGATTCCGCTCACCGACCAACCGAGACAGCTCTCCAACAACTGTCACGTGCTTTGATACAGTCCCAGACATCTTCTTGAACTGTGGATAATTCTCAACGAAGGCCTGCCATGGGAAAAACATCCATGGGGGTTCTATTATTACTTGACCAAGGATAGGCATATATGAAGGGGGGGAAAAATCAGGGATTGTTCTGCCAAGAAAAAGGCATCTATAGCTTTCAATCACATGGCATTTTGCATTTGGTATGCCTAGGAAGAGAAGAACTGGTATATGTAAGCAGACTGAGTATTTGAATAGTCCAAAGGTGATTAAAGAATGGGAAGAAGTTTATGGCTTATTATAAGGTTTTCACTATATTGTTTCCCAAAGAGAAATATTACAGAAAATACCTCAAACCAAACTAAATGAATTAAGGTAGAAATCAGAATAGCTCCCAAAGTTGCATGTTAGTCATCCATATACATGTTCAGTTTACCTTCATGTCTGCTATTGATTCTAGTTTTTGCTGTTCTTTTGGTTTCTTCTTCTGAAAGTCTTCCATGAGATTCTTTATATTGCTACCAATCTCGGCAAAGTTCAAGTACATATTCTGTGAAAAAGAAAGTTGGAAACACAGTTCTATCAACTAGTCTGAATTTCAGACAGTTTTAAAAGAAGTGAAAAAGAATTCTGAGCACAGTTAGAATTAAAGGGCAAGAAAATTCCATTCTAACTAGCAAATCTGGGCATTGGTCAGGACACTGGTGATGAGTACCAGTTCTATTCTCACAAAGGGCTACGGGAGGTAAGTAAATTGGGTTCTGATTTTAAAAGTGGGAAACCAAGTATGTGATTTCTGTGAAAGAAATATTGTTAAGGGAGGGGGGGCAGAATCCAAGTCTTCTGCCTTCCCTTAAGATGCAGCTTATCCACATCGGATGGCTCCATCATCCTTCCACATGAATTCTTAGAAGTCAATATTGACCATCTTACATAAAAACATATAAACTCAATTAAAAAGCACTTACGTTAGCATAGAATTCATCGTTTTCAGCAGATAGGACCACTTCTCTTAAGTCTTTACTGATCCCTGGGACTCTGGAAAGATCAATCCGATTGTTGTTTATGCCCAGTAGTTCATGGACCATGGCTTGATATGTCCACTAAATAAAGAATCGTGACAAAAAGTTTGGTCACTGATAAAACATGAAAATAGTAAATGTTCAGGAAAACAAAAACGAATAACTTATTCTTAATAATTGCTCTTCTTTACATGGAGATTCTCTATTTAGTTCAAGTTTTATTGGTATTTTGTGCTATACTATTAAGATTGTCATTTTAATTTGTTAAACATCCAAAAATCAAAATACTTTTAGATTTCACGGTTTGGAAGAAGGGCAGCAAGATTAATATTCCTGATAAAAAGGAAAATTAGATCCATCATTAGCTCCAATTTTGGCCTGTGAATTAAGGGTATATTTTTGGCTTCATGGATAGGGCTATATTGGTACTGCAGTTACAAGCTGTACCATTTCCTGTACGCTTCTGTGGTTTTCTGCAGCATGAGAAGTGTATTCTTGCAGGTCTGAGTGGTGCTATATTTATCCTGGGAACACTAATATTATCAGAAAAAAACCGTTATGAGTTGATGAAAACACACACATTCAGAAGCTTTATATTTTTACCTAAAATGAATTGTGAAGAGGGTTGGTTTCCAGTCTTACAAATGTGAACTTATTTGGCAAAACTGGAAAGGAGAACCCCCCAATTTTTCCTTCTGACCATTTTTGGAGAATGGGTTACTTTTAATCATAGGCCCATTGGACAAAACTAAGTATTTTCCATCAAATTATCCTCTAAACCTAGAATCTAATGCTAGAAATATTTACATATGTATATCCCATCTTTTAAAAATCTAGATTTATTAAAAAGAACTTGAGGTTATAAAAGATGTTTTATTTCCTAAAACATCTGCCAGATGAATCCTCAAAACAGCTAGTTTCATTAGGCATTTAAAATAAGCACAACAGGGTCGGGTGCGGCCAGGCCGGGAGCGGCCAGGCCCGGGGGAGCAGCCGGGTCGGGTGCGGCCAGGCCCGGAGCAGCGGTGGCCAGGCTGGGAGCGGCCAGGCCCGGAGCAGCAGCAGCCAAGTCCAGAGCAACTAGGTTGGGAGCGGCAGTGACCAGACCCGGAGCAGCTGGTTGTGGAATGAACCAGAGCAACAGAGGCCAGGCCCTGAGCAGCCAGGCCCAGAACAGCTTGCTCCTTGCCTGCCCCTGCCCCACGGCTGCTTCTCAGACATGGCTGGAAACTTTCGTGGGAACTTGAGTGTCTGCTGAATCAAGTGATGAAGGCTTAGATCTGGATGTGTTGAGTTAGTTTAGGACTGGGGTGTTGATCTGTGAGTGCCTTGGGTGGGGCCTGGATGAGGCTAGTTGACCTATTGGGAAATGTCTTTTGTGTGAAGTGTATCATTGGGCATGTGGAGGTATTATTGATATGAGAAAATGCTAAGTAACTGATTTACTATCTGAAAAGGGATTTACTATTGGGGAAATTGAGGGAAGAAGAGACTGAACATAAACTGCACCTATGGATGAGGACAATGGGGGATGGGGGGGGACGGAGGGTGGGGTGGGAACCTGGTGGAGGGGGGAAGAAATGAGGAACCTTTGTAATAATATGAACAATAAAGATTGCTAAAAAAAAAAAAAAAGAAAAAAAAAAAAAGAAAAAAAAAGAAAATGCAATTATGTCTGATTTGAAGATATTAAAGAGCTTAGCTAATTGAGTTACCTATATGCAACTAAATTAAATCTTTGCTGCTGAAAAAAAAAAAAATAAAAAAAAAAAAATAAAATAAAATAAGCACAACAAAATGTCTTATGCTCCCATAGACAGCATCCTGTGCATGCTTCTGCCATCAGCACTTACTCTATAATTAAATTATCTCTTTTCTTCTCTCCCCATTGGACCACGAGCTCTGTGAGAGAAGAGATTGTATTTTTTAACTTTTTATCTCCAGGACTTAATACAGTACCTGTCACATCAATAGATCCTTAGTTAAATTTGTTGAATGAATGGTTGCTTTTCTTTGGCAAACAGAATTATAGGCCATCATTTCTCTAATTTTTTTTTTTTATATTATCAAGATTTATTTAGTGAACAAATACTACTTTGAATTTTAGGAATATAAGCCTATTGCATCATAGAACAGTTGCATTCCACAGCTGCAGATTTCCCCAGCTAATGCATTATTATAAGCTGGGAAGGAACTGGAATATAGACTGTGCCTTTCCCTACAAATTCAAAGCCACTATTAAAAAAACATGTACTACTACGTGCAAGGCTCTGTGCTTGTACTGTCACAAACATGGGTAAGGAATATGCCTTGAAGGAATATGTAACCTCGGAGAGTGTGAAAACACAGGCTCAGCATGGTGAGTGCAGCATGAGACACACGAGAGACACAAAGTTGGCCAGAAATTTTAGGGGGGAAAAGGATGTGTCTGACTAAAAGAACAAAGGCTACAAGATGTTTCGGGTGAATTTTAAGGAGAAGAATTTTGATAGGTGAAGTTGGGAAGACAAGGTATTCCAAACATTCCAGAGTGGGACGGGTCACAACATGAATAAAATGATGACAGGAAACCATGTGTAGCATATCTGCAGACGTGAGCTGTAGGTTTTCTACAAGGTTGGGCCCATATTGTCAAGATCAGGAATCTGTATTTAACTCAGTAGGCAGATGGGAACCAATGAAGATTTCTAAGCCAGCCATAACCAGGACCAGAACTGTGCTTAAGGGAAATTAATTTAACAATGTGTCTGTGAAATATATTAGAGTGGGATGAAATATAAAGTGGGGAGAAGTAGGTGGCTCTTTCAGTATTCCCATGAATGATCTGAGTCTACACCATGGTAACAGCAATAGAATGGAAAAGAGCAAACACTGGAAAAGTAGTCTATAGGACCTAGTTGTCCTGATTCGGTGTTGGGATAGTATAATAGTAGAAAGGGACAGGAAGGATGAGGCAGAAGAAAGAGTCAAGGATTACTGTGGCTAGAAGAACAGTGATATAAAAAAAAACAAGAGCCGAAACCGGTTTGGCTCAGTGGTAGAGCGTCGGTCTGCGGTCTGAAGGGTCCCAGGTTCGATTTTGGTCAAGGGCATGTACATTGGTTGCGGGCATATCCCTGGTAGGGGGTGTACAAGAGGCAGCTGGTCGATGTTTCTCTCTCATTGACGTTTCTAGCTCTCTATCTCTCTCCCTTCCTCTCTGTAAAATATCAATAAAAAAATAAAAAAATAAAAACACAAAAAATAACACCAAGGCAAAAACAAGAGCTGAAAATAAGGAGGCAAAAAAAATGGGCCATCCTGTTCATTTCCACATCTGCATTTTGATGAACGGCACTTGAAATTATCCTTATGTTATGCTAACAAAGGTTTTTGCACCTGGTTTAGCAATGGGGTGATGGCGTCATCGCAGCGATCTAAAATAAGTAGCAATGGAGGAACCTCAGTCCGCCGGAACTCAAATAGTTCATATTCTTTAGTTATGACTTGCTGTGGGTGAGAAAGAGAGTTTGATCAACCAATCAATTGCAGATAGCGATGATATAAATAGTAAAATAATACATAAAGAACTACATTTAACAAAAGTTCTTTGTATCTTCATGGCCTTCCATAAAAAAAACCCCACAAAAAACAAACAAAAAGAACTTGATAAAGTTTAATAACATTCTATTTCAGAGGATAGAATTTGAAACTCTATTTCACAGGTGATTTGATTGGATCAAATTAAGTTAAATAGCTTAGAAATGTTTCTTAGGTTACACCTAAGAATCTTAACTTTAATTTGTTGCTTTTGTTGTTGTTACTTTTTGGTTCTGAATTACAAAGACCTGCCTCTTTGCCAATAAACCTAACACTTCATCTCCTTGATTGCAGATAAAATATTCCTTTAGTTTTTGAAATATCACAAGGAAATGAACAGTCAGGTGTTTTGGAACCAGGCTAGGGACTGCCATACCTTAACACATTCGGCCAGTCTCTTTGCTGCCTCCGATGAAAGCTGGTAACGAATCATAGGGCATTTCTTCAGGGACAGAAGGAGAGCCGTCAGTCCTTGAGTTGTTCTGGACAGCTGGGCTGGATCCCAATTTCGACCCTTTTTAAAAATTCAGAGAAAACACTTAAATTTTTTCTTACTTGCTGAATTAACTCCCACCTGATAAATAAACTTAAAAAAAAAATTCTTTCCTTCCATACCTGGCAGCAACCCAAAATGTTGAGGGAAAACAAATGTGGATTCACAGCAATGTAATCACCATAAAATTCCTGCAAATAAAGCACCAAGATCAGCAAGTTATATTCCATAAACCCCAACTGTATCAAGCAGCAATATTTTCACATGTGATATGATCAAATTTGAGGAAATGTAAGTGTAAAAGATAGAAAAATTGATCAATTAAAAGTTAACAAAAAGTCAATGTGGGAAAATTAATAAAATAATTATAAAACAGCAGCAATAATAAATCTTTTGTAAAAACCCCACAAAAGTTATAGAAGTATACATATTATATGCCTGGAGACCTCTAGGACTTATCAATTAGTAAAAATAAAACATTGCTATAGGATATACAATGTCACACTCAAGCGAAAAAGAAATTTGCTTTCCAGTGCATTCTTATGAGAGAGAATATGGTTCAAAAGAGGTCATTATTTTTTATTCATTTTTCATCTAGAATATCCAAAATTGTTTATTTGTGGTCCTTAATACAATATTCTTCAATTAGCTCATAAATGTATTCAAATGTCTGTGATAAATGTATTGGAGAACACTAAACTATTTAAGAAGGGTAACATGGTATGTTCTAATATGATGTATTATATAGCATGCAGAATAAATATTTAGGGGGTTCCAAATTTTAACCTAATGACAAATGTCTATTATTCCCAAAGCAAGATAACCACAAACAGAACTTCAACAAATCCTATTCACATCCTTTACTTCCTATTCTATCCCAATTAAACTTGGTCCTAATAGATGAATCTTTTTTTTTTTAAAGGACATTTTTATTGATTTCAGAGAGGAAGGGAGAGGGAGAGAGAGAAACATCTATGATGAGAGAGCATCATCAATCAACACACCCCCTACTTGACTGGAGCCCACAACTCAGGAATGACCTCTTGGTTTCTGGGTCGACGCTCAACCACTGAGCCAAACTTGGCTGGGTTAGATGAATATTCTTATAGAATGGCTCATAAAACTATCATAGGATGGCCCTAACTGGGTTAGCTCAGTGGATAGAATGTCAACCTGCAGACTGAAAGGTCCCAGGTTCAATTCTGGTCAAGGGCATATGCCTTGGTTGCCTGCACATCCCCAGTAGGAGTTGTGCAGGAGGCAGGTGATCGATGTTTCTACCTCTCTATCCCTCTCACTTCCTCTCTGTAAAAAATCAATAAAATATATTTAAATAAATAAAAATAAAACTATCATAGGACATATTTGATTTTGTCCCCAACTCTGTGAAACTCTTCCTACTAATAGTAGGATCCAGTACCAGCCCAATTTCATGATTTCCACTGACTCCTTTAATTCTGTTCCCATCCAATTTGATATATCTTCCAAACTTTCTAAATATAAGTATGGTCTGGTGCAATGCACACTGATTGTGTCTGATGAGTAGCCTCCATTCTTTTGAGACAGCACTTTCCCTATTTTTAGACTCAAATATATATATTTTTAAATATATTTTACTGATTTTTTACAGAGAGGAGGAGAGAGGAATAGAGAGTTAGAAACATCGATGAGAGAGAATCATCGATCAGCTCCCTCTTGCCCTTGACCGGAATCGAACCCGGGACCTTTCAGTCCGCAGGCCGATGCTCTATCCATTGAGCCAAACCGGTTTCGGCATAGACTCAAATCTTTAAAAAGGGCCAATATAAGAGAGAGTTAGAGGACCAACATGTTTACCTGAACCTCAGCCACAACTTCCTGTTCATCAGCTTCAGCTAATGACTTCACATCGCTCTTGCTGATCACATTACTGAAATCTGAAACAGACATATGAGTTGTTATTGACTAAAAGGAGATTATCATTGCTGCAATTAGACATAAATGGGCCTGACACTTAAAGCCTAATGAATAAGGGAAGTTTAGTACACATTGGAGTAGATGTCAAAGTTGAACACCTTCAAATTGGAATGAGCAGCACAAAGATGTTTAAATCTGTAAGTTCATAATAGTAATTAAAAAAAAAAAAAAGGATCACCATTGTAAGCATTGGAGGATGCTATGGAACCAAGTCTTTACTGAAGATAGAAGGAAAGGGTAACATGATGATAAATAAAGGGAAAGAAGTAAGCTTTTATCCTTTTATACATAAACCGTACCAAATAGTAGATGAGGGAAAATTTCCAAATAGTAGATGAGGGGAAATTTCTCTTTATAGAAATATTTCAGCTGAAAAAATAAAGAAGGAAAGATAATGATATGACAGAATTAAAACAATATTTTTATCAGCTCCTAATGAATCAATGGTTGGACCTAGGTACTGAGCATCAATCACTGCTAATATCACAGTAAGAGAAGATCAATGGAAGTACACCACACTATCTATGAAGCATTCTTGTCAAAAAGAAATCAAATCTGAATCTAATTAAACCTCTACATCCAGGTACCAACTTATAGAAACTGGAGGACAGAGGAACATTTTAAACTACACTAAACTTTATAAAGATCAATAACGACATCTAGAGGAGAATGGATGTAACTGCCAAAGCAGTATGTATTGCATTAAAAAAAATCCGTATAAATGGTATAGTAACCACAAAACTAGTTTCTTTCCAGGCCTCTACTTCTCTATCTCTATCCCCACCCCACTACCACCAAAGTTAGGCACATAAGAGATATCTACTTGATGACTTGTACTTTAAGTACTACATAAAGAAGCAACGAGAAGTGAAATGTTTTTATCTGGTATATAAAGTAAATCTCTGCCTTTCCAATCAACTCAAGTATACCCTCTCTCTAAGTAAATGAATTAGCTTCTATGCCTGAGTTCATAAAAGTGTAAAATAGGAATAGGAATACACTTTGTGAAAATTGGCTACTTACAACTTCTTGCCTTACAAAGAATTTTAAAAAGTAAAGTTAAACAAAAAATTTTTTACCCAAACAATTAACGGTGAATGGAAATCACATTAAGCTTTCTGAAACAGAGTGTTGGCTATAAGACTTTTAAACTTTGAAAGAACATTACAAAAAACCCACACAGACTTTTTTAGTGATGGATTCAATTAACTTATTGTTGAGATAAAGAGACCAACAGAACATTCTAGCTAGGATATAGTTATATGATTGAATAGGTGAAATAATATACTTACAAATAAAATATATACTGTATTTGGGTCTTCGGAGCTCCTGAATCAGATAATCCACATTCTCCTAGAAAATAACAAACAAAATATGAGAAATGCTTAAGTGTAAAGCTAATAAACATCATCCATTGATTTATTTAAGTGTTTACTGAGAGTCCACTGTGTGCTAAGGTCTAGATTAAGTATATATATTTTGGGAGACTAAAGGCTGGGGATGAAAAAAATACAATAAATATAATGATAAAGAATCATATGTAATTTTAACTAGCTGTGCTAAGTTGGCCAAATTAAGATTAAAAATATATAAAGAACACAGATGTTGAAATACAACACAGAATTGATAATTCTGCAAATGTGCTTCAAGCTGCTTGTCTATAAATTATTATATTCATCTATAAAAATTATTATGCAGAATATCAAAACATGTCTAGTCCTTTTAAAACCAATAGTCAAGATAGAATAAAGTTAATTATATTTGGCTCTTAACTTATTGGGACCTAAGACTGCACAACTTCAATGTTTGGGAGGTATTTGCAAATAGTAGGCTAAGACCCTTTATATATTATTTTAAAGTAAAATAAGAAATTTAGAAGTAAAAACAGTTCGTTTTCTTATATGGTCAAAACATTAGAATTCCCGTTCTATAAGATTATAATGCAGGTCTTAACTATTTTTGATATCATAACACAGGGTTAAATTTCAGTATAAATTTGGCCTCCAAACTATACATGACATAAAATATCATTTTTTGAATGTTAAAAAAATCCCACAATTTTCTTACAGAATTAAAAATAATGTAAGCAATGCACATTGCATGTTAAGTGGAAAAAATACTTGGCAAATTGTCATTTAGATTAAAAATACCTTAAAAAGTAGTGGAATCATAAGGGAAAATTGCTTTTAAGAACATATTTTGAGTATTATAGACTATATACATTCATATACTCTCATACACACACACACACACACACACACACACACACACACGAAAGAGGTTCTCCAATAAAAATGTTAGGAAATGATGCACTAGATGATCTCTAAGATCCTTCTCACAAGCATATGTTATGACTAAGATTTACAAATGTGAAACAACTGGAAACTATTATAACACAGTATTCATTAATTCAGGAATGGCTTATTGAGTATACACTATGTGGCAGGCATTAGAGACATAATAGTGTGACAAAACAGACCCATCTCTGATCTCATGGAACTTACTGCTGGTAGGTGATATATATATTAATTAATCAGACAGAAAATATAATACTTCAACCATGACAAATAATAGGGAGAGGAAGATGGTGCTGTAATGCTTATGACAAGGGGAGTTGACCTGGTCAGCAAGACCAGAGAAGATTTGCTTGCAGTGAAGAAGTTCCTGACAGAGAAAGAGCCTGTGCAAAGGTCCTGTGGCATGATGGAATATAGTGTACTGAAACATTAGTATAACTAAGAAAAGGGGGAATGGTTTGAAATGGGGCTGTAGAAATGATAGGAACTAGACCACACAGAATCTTGCAGGCCACTATTAAGGAGTTCTGTCTTTATTGTAAAAGTAATGAGAAGTCATTCAAGTTTTCCAAGTGGGGAGAACATGATCAGATTTGTATTTTGGAAAATACATAATGTACAAGCATGGTAAAAGAGTATTTTGGAGTTGAAGAACAGGAATATAAAGTAAGAGAATATACAAAATAAGATTGAAATAGTTAAGGGTTTTTAAAAGAGGACTTAAGCAAGATTTAGATGGTGGACAACAACTGATAGAAGGCTAGAGAATCTCAAATGAGGGGAAGAGAACAGAAATGAAAACACAGAGGGATGACACAAAGACCTAGTGGCTTAGTGGAAGAGCAAAGGTGGGACACTGGAGTTTGGATACCTAAGGGCAGACCAGACCTGCTAAAGGAGTGTTTTGAGGAGTAAGCTACTAAATATAGATGTATTCATGTGCCATTATAGGTTTCTGAGCATAGATGCAAAAAAAAAAATGATAAAAACTCAAAACGTTGATATAAGTATATAAGATTAAGTGGCAATGCTATTCAGTGAGAGAAGGTTAATCCAGGAATAAAGTGATCCGGGTCTCTGTTAGGGAGTAGCTTTGAAAGTAGCTGAGAATCTAAAAGACATTTTGAAGGAAAAAAACTGGCTGTAAGGAGTAAACTGAGATATGGGAAGGAGGAAAGTCAAGGTTGCAACTCTGATAAACCAAGATAATTATGATGCCACAAACGATAATACAAATTTATTTTGCCTTCTTAATGCCTTCAGATCATAGCGTTCTGTATTTGCCTGGGCAGATGGCAGTTCAGTAAGTAGTACCTTTGTAGGCCGAAGAAAACAAATTGCTTTCAGGTGTTTCATGGTCTCCCGATTCGGAGAATCAATGCGTTCAAAAAGGTACACTTCCTTCTGAAGAATCTCTGATTGTGTGTATACCATACTCACTATACCAGTCTGTAAAGAAAAAAAATTACTAATATTATGATGGCCTAGAATAATAAGAACAAGCAACAATATCCCAAGGTTTAAACTTTTTTTTTTTAATTAATATTTAACTGGATATCTTACCTACTAAAATATAACATTTACTGAGCATCTAAACATGTATGTAATGTACCAGAATGCTCTCTGTAAATATAGACAATCCATACATGCCCCCCCCCCATTTTTCTATTACCTTAGAGGTTTTTATTTTTAATTTAAAAAAATTGCAAACAACAAATAATAACCTGTCATCTCAGCTTTGAGCTCCAACATCTTTACTTTAAAAACACAACGTTGAGTAGAAATAACAGGATCGTCCCCAAAAGCCTTCCAGGTGCTGTCTCACTTATTTCTTGACAGAAACATTTAGAAAAGGATTTCTATTCCAAGAAATTGTCTCGGGGTACAAGAAAAGAAAAAAAAAAATCTCTGGCGGTGGCTAAAGCCATTTAGTCTAAAAACCGACTGGGCAAGCTGAACACAATCTTTAAATTCCGTACAGAACTGACCCTCTTTTTAAAAAAAAAATCTCTAATGAAATACCAAATCCTGCCGTGGAATGTGACCGGCTATTGTAAGGGAGGGAGGATTCCCACACGAATCCCGGGCAAAAGCGAACTCACCGTCTCTTTATCCATGAGAAGCACTTTCATCCCCGGCCCGCTGTCCTCTATCATTTTGGAAATGTACTGCTTCACAGCCAGAACCACGTTCATGGTGGCGAACTGACAGGTGAGCCCCACAGCCCTTCCCGCCCCCTTTTCTTCTGGCTGCACGAACCCGGGGCTCCTCGGCCAGGTCTCCGCCGCTTCCTCCCCGCCCAGCCTCGGCTTCCGGAAGTCCGGGCGGCAACGCTGCTGGGACTTGTAGTTCCGCTGGGACTTGTAGTTCCGCTGCGCGGCCGGGAGCACCGGGCCTCCGCGCCCGGTGCCAAAAGCCCGGCTGAGAGCCTGGGGGCCCCCCTGCCCTGACGGGGCTGTTGACCCATCTGCAGCGGCAGGTGTTGGAGACTTGGACTGAACTCCGCCTGCTGCCTTGGGGGGAGAGGGTGGCGCCTCGCGGGGTGAGGAAACTTGGCATAAGGCCACCTCCGAGGCCAGAATGGAGCATGGCGGTGGTTACTCCTTGCCATTCATTAACGCTTTCCGGGGTGGCAGTGAAGGGCGAGGGGAAGGGAGATGGCGTTGTGCTCCAGGCTGCTCCGGACTCAGAGGACGACACTTAGATCACACGCGGTGCTTGCTAAATAGCGGCGGGTTTCAGCTTCACGGGGCCATTAGGGCGAGGACAGGGTCCTGGCAGAGGGAGGTCCAGATCGGCGTTCCGAGGACGGAGAGCATCTGAAATCGAACAAATGCTTGTTGAATGAATGAACAAAGGGAACGCCCTGTAGGGGTGTTTTGGGGGAGGCCGCAGATCTCCCAGGAGGGCCTGGACCTGGGGTCGGCCGCGGGGACTCCGAGCCCTGAGCGACCCCGGGTTCAGCGCGCTGGGCGATTGGGCACCGCGGGCTCCCGCTGCGGGGGCTGAGGGGGCCGCACGGATCCGCTGGGGCTAAAACCAAGTAGCATTGGGATGTTCGGGGGGAAAACTCACAACTTTTGATTTAAGAAATGACAAAAACCTGAACAGCAAAATAAATCTTAAAGCCATCAACTTCACAAAATCTGCATTTGTGTTTACATCCCACAGGTAGTCTCTCCGCACCGTTTGTCCATACGGAGGGTAAATGTTAGCTTCCCCGCACCTACATCGGGGAGTTGTAAAATCAGGGAAGACAACAAGCAACAACTGCGAGAAATCAGTGACTCTAAATGCTTGTAAATAGCTCCACCAAAAATGACCAGTGTTTGTAGGCATCAGTGTAATCAATAGGTTCAAAATGACCAAATCCATCATCCTTTCATTGAATTGTAAGAAGTATGTAATTAAAACGAGATCCAGAGCACATTAACATTCATCTGGCTGTTAAGATCACTTTATAAAACGTGCCCTGCTGGCGTGGCTCAGTGGTTGAGTGACGACCTATGAACCAGGAGGTCCCGGTTTGATTTCAGGTCTGGGCACACGATGGGGGCTAGATCCACAGTGGGGCCTGGTTCTATCTCACTCTTGTTTCTATCTCTCTTCCTCTCTCTTCCTCTCTGAAATCAATAAAAAGGTATATATTTTTAAAAGAATGCTTTATAGAACGTTATACACAATTTTCAACTCTTTTTAAGGCAAATTAGAAGCCACTCGAAATACAGATTTTTGTCATTCCGAGATTGTGAACAATGTTTATTTTCTCCAAGTAAAACTTGGAGTAAGTTTTATTACCAAGTAAAACTTCCCATTGGGCTTTTTTTTTTTTTTTGTTGGAGATTTGTTTTGAAAGAGAAGTTATAGTAAAATGAAAATATGAATCTTTCAATGGATACAAATGAGAAAAATCTAAATCTACACAGAAGATACCCAATAAATATTTAATGTTGGTGAAACTCATTACTGGGTAAACTACAATGGCATTTAAAATGTTCATATATTATAGAAAGCAGAAAACCCCAATGCTAATGAAAAATGATACACCTGCAAATTCTTTAAGTTACTGATATTTGAAAATTCACCTCCACTCACCTGATTTGGATTTTTTTTTTTTTTTTACCTGTCATTTGGACTGCAGTATAAGATTGTCTTCCCTTAACCGAAACCCGTTTGGCTCAGTGGATAGAGCGTTGGCCTATGGACTGAAAGGTCCCAGGTTCGATTCTGGTCAGGGGCATGTACCTTGGTTGCGGGCACATCCCCGGTAGGGGGTGTGCAGGAGGCAGCTGGTCGATGTTTCTCTCTCATCGACATTTCTAGCTCTCTATCTCTCTCCCTTCCTCTCTGTAAAAAAAAAAAAAAATCAATAAAAAATATATATTTAAAAAAAAAAAAGATTGCTTTCCCTTGACAAATATCTCAGTTAACTTTTGTATTTTTCCTTTGAGGTGAATATTACCTTCATATTACAGAGTTCAAGAAGTTGGATAATTTTCATGAGGTGACAGAAAATAGCAAATAGAGAAAATAGCAAATAGAAAAAGCTTTTCTGTGGGCATTTTACCTTGTTTCTTTGTACTGTTTGTTTTCCTATTTTCTAGAAAGTACATTGTTACTTCTTTGAGGATAAAGAGTGTGGTGTTTTTGTCCGCGCCCCCCCACCTCTCATCCTTTTCACTAGTACAGTGCCCTGCACACAGAAAATACGTACCCAATAAATATTTAATGTTGGTGAAACTCATTACTGGGCAATCGCTACAATGGCATGTTAAATAAAGCATAGAGTTTTACATGCACAGAACAAAGAGATCAATATTTCTAACCTAAGTGATTCACACCAATAATTTTATTGAATAAAATGGAATAAGTTCTGGAGAAATATCAGGGGCTTTCTTCTCAAATTCCTAGGTAAATTATAGGAATGTAGGCTTGACGGTTACTAGTGCTCTTGTAATAAAGGGCATGACATTTGTTTTTTCTGATTATCTGCTGTAGAGATTAAAGAGAGGACCAATTTTGTACGATTGTTGATTAAGAATTTATTGAAAAAAGCATCCGTTTTAGAAAGTATTTAATTCACGTTTGAATTGTTTCAGCACTCAGATAGGGGGCGTCCTTGGACCACCAAGAAGGCTCTTTGTAACTGGTTGCTGGCTCGCTGAGTAATGGTTTCGTGAATAAGGGAAAATACCTTGTTTTGGCCAAAATAGATGACAAAATGTTTGTTTAATGTTGAGTTTAATTTTTTCTTAGCTTTAAGTCTTATTGAATTGTTGCATAAAGAGACTGCATTATCATAGGTTTTTTTTGTTTTTTTTTTTTCATTTCTGAACACCAGAATCCATGCTTATATCCAGAACACTATACTACAAATGGCAGATTTCTATTTATGACAAAATATACTGGGTGTCCCCCCCCAAAATGTATATTCATTTCAACAGCTGATAGCTCAATTTTGAAAATGAAATGTATTTTAATAAACACTGCCTTTATTCAAAGTATGTGTGTATATTTTTTGGAACAACCTATATAATAAATAGTGAAATTGTTTTTTCTCATTAAATTCTAGTTACTAATGAAAGGATAAAATAACATCCGGACTCACCACAACTAATTTAGAAATAATATTGGGGAATTAGGTTTTTCCCCCCTTCCTGGTGATGTAGTAATTTAAACTCAGATGCTGTAGAATGATTCAATTCCCTGTCAGAGGAACTCTCGAGTTTGGAAAGGAGCTTGATTGAATGAAAGGATACTGAAGTGAGAGCCAGATGATCTGATTTATAGAATACTTTACTACTAATATCTGGATGAACTTCAGAAACAATTTACACTCACTAGTACTCTGTCTTTCAAATGAAGGAAATGGACTGGAAAACACCAGTACATAAATCTATGAGTGTAAATTTTATTTGTATAGAGAAGTCATTCTCTTTGTATTATATATGCATACTGTACATGTCTTGTTCAATTTTTGAGAACAGCATCCTCCTATATAATAAAAGCGCAGTATGCAAATTGTCCCCTCTGCCGGGAGTTCGACCAGGGGGCGGGGCAGGGAAGGGAGGGAATACCTGGCGAGCAGCCAGCAGCCACTAGGAACCCTATCAGCGGGGCCTCTAATATTAATATAAATCTAACACCGTCATGATCTGCTTTAGCCCTGTCTGGAGCCCCACAATGGTGTAAGGTCCAGAATCATTTTTCTTTGACATTTCTTAGGATGGGCTCTTCTTTTCACTCTATCCATGAATGGCTTGTTGATTCCTTCTTTAGTTTTGGTTAAAGCGTTTCCTTAAGTGGGGAAAGAAGAAGGCTATATCTCCCTTCTTTAATTCCTGGTGGAGGGGTGTAGATTTTATAACTTTTTGAGGGAAGACTACATAAATGTAGGGCCTGAATATCTCAATGTTTCAATGTTTCTTTGCTTTTTCCTGTGGAGTATTTAGGAACTCATCCTTTCTGGAAGTAAAGTGATGGTATCAAGGCTTAAGACAAGAAAGAGGTAAAAACACACACATACACACACACACACACACACACACACACACACACACACACAAACACACACATGAGAAAGGAGTTTAAATTATACTTGTTTTATAAATGTGCCCTGATGGGGGCTGAGATCGAACCTGCAATCCAGGTACATGCCCTTGACCAGGAATCAAACCCAAGACTCTGATGCTCAAGCTGCCACTCTAACCACTTAACCCCGTTAGGGCTATGTGAATATTTAATGCCACTATTTTTTAGTTGAGTAAAAACATCAAAATTGAGTGACACTTAACTTTCACAAAGTCATTTCTCTATGTGGTTCTTAGAGGAAAGTGTCTCGATCACCTATATAGACATCTATTAATAGTTCCTGACACTGGTTGCTAGAGGTTATTCTTTCTTTCAACAAGTACTTATTGAATAACTACTATGTGCTAGCCATGGAAATACAGCATTAAACAAAACAGACAAAATTCCTAATCTTATGGAGCTTACAATCTAGTGAGGCCATTCAAACAAAATAAGTAAATGTTATGGTAATTAGGTGGTGATAAATCCTATAGAGAAAAACAAAACATGTTTAAAGAAGGGAAGGCAGGAGTATTGGAATGTGTAAGGTTTGCTGTTATAAATTGGGTAGTGAGTGAATCATTCACTGAGAGCAAAAACCTGAAGGAGTTGTAAGGAATAAGCC